TTTTTAAAACCTGACCCTACTTCGTTAAATACACGCAAATGGTCATTTTTGAGTAAATATTCTGATGTTTTAGAGAGAAGGGAGAGTATTTTAGAAAGAGAGGAAACCCTAGGCTAATTATTCATCAAGTCTTGCTCAAATCTTGGAAGATTAACAAGGAAAACCCACAAGTTCTTAATCTAAGAGGTAAGGTTCCATACCCCAGTTTTCAATTTCGAATTTGGGTAGAAGATGGTTGATTATGAGTATGATTCTTGGGTTTGAGAGTATTATCTATACATGCATGTACCAGTAAGATTTGTGGGAAGATTGTTGAGTTTAAATAAGTAAGAATTGGGTTGTGTAGTGAAGGAAATCTTGTAGAAAAACCTTGTGGTTAAATTTGCACACCTAGTGTTTGATAAAATGCTCAAAAGAGCTGAGACAATGAATATCTTCCTAATTGTTGTTAAATTTTGTTATGTCTCAAAATAGATTGGGATTGCTAGAATTTCAGTAACGTTGTAGTAATTTAAGGAAAGCTTAACTGAGGTATGTTGGCTAAACTTTCTCTCTTAGAATTGAATTCCATAATGTTCCCGTGAGTTTCAAAGTATGGGTTGCGTATTAAAATGTTGTGGCTTTGAATCGTATTTCAAATGAAAGCTAGTATGCCAAATTGTGTGAGAAAATCTCAATATTCTTAAGACTCGTAATTGCTCATATGTGTATCTAAAGTCTTGATTGGAAATGTATTATTGTTGATAACCTATAAAGGTGGTTGGAAATGAAATAATTGAATTGGGGATATAGTGTGTGGCCAACGTGCCAAGAATTTAAGTTACGTCTGTGGCTAGTAGTGCAAATAATTTGAGAGAATGAAATAAAGAATATGAAATGAGCCTCGACTCGATTGTTTGAAAACGATTTCGAAGATAGAATTGCCTAAATGCTTTTGTACTCAATTTATGCCCATAAGTGACTGTTTTAACTAATGCCTTGCTTTATAAATATATCCAGTGTGATTCGAGTTCTATATACTCATGTGTTGAAATTGTACATTGTCATTTTTGGGGAAAAGTATTTCAAGAATAAATGGGGTGTCACTTGTTGATGATTTGAACTTGCCACCAATTGTTAATTATTTTACTCCATTTTTGGAAAGAAATCTATTGTGCTTAAATTGTTAATTTCTAATGAATTTAAAGTTGTGATTTTAGGAATATTCTATATCTTGATATTTGATAGTGATCTTAAAATTGAAAGAAGTGAAAGTGTGGAATATGAAATACGGCCATCGTGCCAAGAATAAAGAATCTTGTGAATGGCCTAATGAGCCAAGGAAATATTGTCGTTGTGAATGACTGGAAATATTAATGAGAATTTATACAATGTGAAAGATGTTGAGGTGAGTACAATTGTATTTATGATATTTCGGTTTGCAAATCAAATCAAAATATTTTTGGGAGCATCATTAGCAAAACCGAGGAAGGGTGGGTCATAAGGCCCATACCTGAAACTACACGTGCCGGTGTAGGGGTGGATTGTGATTATTCCCCTTATTTGGGATGAAATTGGAATCTTTGGGAAATTGTGATATTATTCCCCTTAATTGGGATGCAACTGGAACCTTTGTGGATTGGAAAAGTCAACCTACACGGCATATGTCTGAAGGCGACCTAGCTGATCGGGTGGAGATCAGACGCCATATTGCGCATATGGTGGTACTACTCTTGGTAACAACTTTCTTTTGCATCACTTGTCAAACCACATTGTTCTTGGGGAGATGGCCTAGCCGATCAGGCATAATCGGACTCCGTGCTAACAAAGACGGTGGTATATCGGTGCTAATGATCTCCCAACCAAAATTGTATATGAAGTTCGTATTTTGAAAATTATTATGTTTTAACTGGACATTTGGATATTGTTGATTGTGACTTGTTGTTTCTATGTGTTGCCTTTTCTTTTATGGGCATTTTATTTTGAAAGAGGATTTTTAGCTATACATACTAGTGCTATTCGACAGTACTAACGTCCCTTTTGCCGGGGGTGCTGCATCTTTTATGGATGCAGGTGGTTCTACAGCAGGTAGCATTGATCAGTGATAGCAGTGCACCCTTTTCAGCTGATTTGGTAAGCCCCACTTCATTTCGGGGTCTTGTATCTTTTGTTTCGCATGTACTCTGTTTTGAGGTATAGCCGGGGCCTTGTTGCCAGCATTTTCATATTACTCTACTATTGTACTTAGAGGCTCCGTAGGCAGGTTGTGGGTTGTGGTTGATGTTGGGAACCGAACTAGAAATGTTGGTATTTGGAAATCATATTTTTCAATAATTCTATAAACTCGTAATATTTTGGAATTTATGAATAAAGCTGCTAATGGGAATGAAAAGGAAGTGGTTAATAAAATCTTTTCAGTGTTTGATTAATGGAGTACCATCTCCTCTTTATTCATGAATGAGTTTGGGTAGAAGGAAATCTAACATGCTTGCTCGATCGGGTTCTCTCGGTTGAGCGCCGGTCGCGCTCCCCGAGCTTAGGGCGTGACACTCCGGTATTCACTGGAGTAGATCCAAACGAGGACCCTCAGGTATTTATCGATAGGATGCAGAGGACTTTGAGGGTAATGAAGGCCGCTGTGACTGAGTCAGTTGAGCTAGCTTCCTACATACTTTAGGATGTTGCAGTTAATTGGTACGAGTCTTTGGAGTTGTCCATAGGTGAGGATGACCCTCTAGCAGTATGACATGAGTTTACAGAGGCTTTTCTTCATCATTATCTACCACCAGAGTTTAGACGGGCCAGAGGTGATACGTTCTTGACCCTTCGGCAGGGTAATATGAGTGTTCGGGAGTACAACTATTACACCCCATGTTTTCGTACGTGAAAGTACGCCATAAATAAATTGATGAGAGCTCGGAAATGAGATGTTACATCCCGCATTTTCGTACGTTAAAGTTTCATCGTAAGTTCATCGACGTAAGCTCGGGAATGAGATTATTTTGAAGTTATAAGTATTATGCTATTTCAAACAAGTGATAAGTAAATTCGTGAAGGTGAAAGGGTAAGCGAATCGAGGAAAATGAATTTCGTCGAAGTTTGACATTTTGAGATAAAATATGGTCCAAGCTACAATACCCGGTATTTATGGACTAGTGTCATACAAGGTACCACATGACCATGATAGTTGTTACATCTCGCATTTTCATACGTAAAAGTTTCATCTTCAGTTAATCGACGTAGACTCGGGGATGATATTATATTGAGGTTAACGTATTTATGCTATTTATAACAAGCGATAAGTAAATGCCATGAAGGATAAAGGTTACACGAATTAAAGAAAATGAGTTTCATTGAAGGTTGTCGATATGAGATAAAATACGGTCCAAGCTATAATACCCGATATTTATGGACTAGTACCATACAAGGTACCATATGTCCGTGATAGTATGATGTATAAAGTGTATTAAAAATAAGTAGAATTTTAAGTAATTTGAGATAATTCTTAATTATGTGAATAATTAATTAATTATCGGGTAGCAGAATATTACCTGATTAATTAATTAATTATAGGATAAGATTAAGACCCCTCCCCCACCCCACATGGGAGCAAGCCACCACCCAAAACAAATGACTCATTAGTCATGTTGGGTTAGGTGGCAACTAGTTAAAATGAAAGCCTTGAAATTCAATAAAAGTTGCATAACTTTAAGCAAATTAAAAGATTCATATCTCCAACATTTGAGGGAATAGAAAAGGCTCTTCATGAGACCATCTGAAGCTAACGGAAATGCAACCTGAAGCCAACGATGAAAGCAATCTGAAGCTAACATAGAAGGGTGCAGGCCTTTAATAAATCGAACAGGGATTTTGAAATTTTAAGGGAATACGGTGTAAACCTTCTCAAGAATATCACACGGAGTTTTCCCTACTCCAGGTATGTTAAGGCTATCCCTTCTTTCTTTTTGGCATGATCCAAATTATACAGAAGAAACGAGCAAACTCACAGTTTTCATAAACGACTCTATTCATAGAAATACTCGGGGTCTCTATGTTCTTGATTCCCCATGTGACATATTATTATATCTTCTTTTCATGGGTCTCAGAATGATATACAGTTGATAAAGTTTATCCGAAAGGAATATTGAGATTATTAACATATTTTCATGCATTTCATTCATTTATACATGTACATTGACCCATGACCAGATGACGTTATATACGTATATTTATATGTATATATATGTATATGGCATATGAGAAAAGGTTACGGCATTATATACGCACCACCACCTGATCAGTTGGTATATTACCAAGGCATATAATTCTTTATCATAAGTAGAATAATTCAATGCAGCCCCATTCAACTTCTCACTAAAATAAGCGATTGGTTTAGAATCTTGCATTAAAATAGCCCCAATACCTCTACCAGATGCATCACATTCAATTTCAAAGGACTTATTAAAATCAGGTAATTGTAACAAAGGAGCAGAACATAATTTATCCTTCAAAATATTAAATGCATGCTCTTGTTATTTTCCCCAATTAAAGACCTTATCCTTCTTAATGACTTCAGTTAAAGGTGCAGCAATTGAACTAAAATCTCTAACAAATATCCTATAAAAGCTAGCAAGTCCATGAAAACTTCTAACTTCAGTAATGCTCTTAGGTGTAGGCCAATATTTAATCGCCTTGATTTTATCTTCATCTACCTCTACACCTCTAGAACTCACAACAAAACCCAAGAAAACTACCTTATCTACAAAAAAAGTGCACTTGGATAAATTTGCATATAATTGTTGCTCCCTAAGCACATTACAAACTTGTTTCAAATGTTCGACATGCTCTTCTAAAGATTTAGAAAAGATCAGAATATCATCAAAATAAACGACTACAAATTTTCCATGAAAATCCTTAAAGATATGGTTCATTAACCTCATGAATGTACTAGGTGCATTAGTTAACCCAAACGGCATCACTAACCATTCATACAATCCATATTTAGTTTTAAAGGCAGTTTTTCACTCATCTCCAGGATTCATTCTAATTTGGCGATATCCACTCTTCAAATCAATTTTAGAGAATATTTGAGAACCATGCAATTGGTCAAGCATATCATCTAAATGGGGAATAGGATGACGATACTTTACCGTTATTTTATTAATGGCGCGACAGTCCACGCACATCCTCCAAGTGCCATCCTTCTTTGGCACCAAAAGCACGGGCACAGAACAGGGACTCATGCTTTCTCTTATGAATCCCTTATCAAGCAGCTCCTCTACTTGTCTTTGCAATTCTTTTTTTTCTTCGGGATTGCTCCTCCTATAAGGAGGCTTATTAGGAATTTGTGATCTCGGCATAAAATCAATTTGATGCTCTATTCCTCTAAAAGGTGGTAAACCTTTAGGAAGGTCCTTAGGAAAAACATATTCAAAATCCTGCAAAAGATTAGAAATAACACTAGGCAAAGAGGATGTTAGTGAATCATTATTAAGCAGAACTTCCTTATAAGTGAGCAAGATAATAGACAACCCTTCTTTTTTTTTGCAATTAAACACTCTTTGGCTTTTGCAAGGCTCACTTTTTTTTCAATCTTAGCATCTTTCCTCTCACCAATGCTTTTTTTTTTTCACTCTTCCCCACCTTTTCCTTTATCTCTTTGCTGCCCTGTCTCTCCTCACACCTCACTTTATATTTACCCTCTTTGTCTTTCCTTTCAGTCTCTCGTTTTGATCCCTTCCCATGTTTCCCCATTGATTCTTTCATCTTTTTTTGATCTTCATATACTTGGGAAGGAGTTAAAGGTGCAAGAATGTACTTCTTTCCATTATGCTTAAGAAAGTATCTATTTTTCCTCCCGTCATAAAAAGCACTCCTATCATACTGCCACGGGCGCCCCAACAAGATATGACAAGCTTGCATGGGTACTATATCACATAGAACTTCGTCAGCGTACCTTCCAATCTTGAAGGAGACCATGCATTGCTTATTCACCTTGACCTCTCCACTATCATTGAACCATT